CTGGCGCCTGGGATCGAACCCGGGACCAAAGGATCACAAGTCCAGCGTGCTGTCCGCTCAGCCGACCGTGTCGGAAAATCCGACACCATTTAATAATATTACATGCAATTGCAGATATTGTTGCTGCATTGTGTACACAAGTTACCCAAAGAAAATGTAAATTGTAGTGGAATTTTCAGTCTATAGAAAATGGGATATCATTGCCACATACTATTATAAATTCACCACCTATTATGGTGGGAATTATTCTTAAATACATTAGTCTTTGGACTTTACCATCATAAAAACATATCATTTGAATTAATTTAATTATCAGTATTAAAATAGAGTAAATGTGACCCTTCTATCACTTCCTGACATCTCTACAAAGTGAGGGAGGCATCAGTGGTGAGGGAGTGGTCAGCCATTGTTGTTTAGACCAGAGGCGCACGGGAGCAAATTCAGCTCCTGTTAATTTCTCTTGGACGAAGTGTTATGGAAACCAAAGGTCTGCCATCATCAACACGCTGTCAACAAATACAAGGAAAGTATTCTGCCGAAACCCATTTATCTAATCATTTTTGGCCATTAATGTCAGTAGATAGGGCGTACCGGTTAGAATGCGAACAGCCTCTTCAAAAAAGGTAATTAAGCCTTGGTCTTTATTTTATCAATTACAGTGTTTTCTCTGATATAGCTGTCATATATATTAGGATTCTGGCTTTTAGCTAGCGCCCTTTTGACAGGTCAAGAAGAGGAAGCATGCTTTGTGAACCAGTTACTGGGTGATGGAAGCTACCTCACACGAGGAAATTTGGTGTCTACATCCTAGTTATATCTGGTGAACCAAGCCTGCTGTATAATAAGATAAGGAACCTCTTCAATGTATACTAATATATGTAGTTTAATACTGTAGTTTGATTGGCTGCATATATATAAATTCAATATAAACCCCCCCCCCCTAATGTGTAGAGGATCAATTTGTGAGATTATTGCAGAAATACAGTCCACTTAACATCATACAAATTGCTATCGAAATATATAAATTAATGTAAATATAAATTCTATATAAATTCATATAAATTAAATAAATATAAATCTCACAGGTCGGTTCCCACAGACCGGCTCCCACGACCAGCTCTGGGATACACCGGTAAATACCTGTGATCTTGGTCAATTTGTCAGTGTCTCTCAGGTGCTCAGGGAATCAACATTACTCCCTCAACGCAATGCTTGCCTCCAGTCACTTCGTGTGCAGGTTGTAGTGGTACAGAGCACCACTTGGTTTCCGAACTTTAGTTATCCGAAACTTCCAGTTTCCCGATTGGGGTTGGGGAGTCATGCTACCCGAACAAAGTTCGGGTAGGAAGGGGTCCGCCAAGCGTCACGCCGGCTTGTTGTGGTGGGTGGGAGATGGTCCAGTTTGCCCACTGTGACTTCACAGATTCACGGCCTATTATTCCTATTATTTTGAATTGCCATAAGGCTGGAATGTTCATTCTGTGCTTTTGTTTTACATATCTGCACAATCAAGAAACATCTGTGCACCATGTTGGCTCCAAATGCACGCATTGCATCAGTGATGGCCGACTGGTGGGTGGATGAACGATGCAACTTAGGTGGGAGGCAGTATGAATGAGGAGGGGGGGAGAATCAGTGACAGAGGGGGAGAGAGAGATGCTAGGAGGGAGGGGGAGGTAGGGAGAGATGTTAGGAGGTAGGGAGAGATGCTAAGAGGGAGGGGGAGGTAGGGAGAGATGCTAGGAGGTAGGCAGGAAGGGATGGAAGTAGTGAGAATTAGGGAGGGAAAGGCAGGCTGGCAGGCACAGGCAGGCAGGCACAGGCAGGCAGGCACAGGCAGGCAGGCAGGCAGGCACAGGCAGGCAGGCAGGCAGGCACAGGCAGGCACAGGCAGGCAGGCAGGCAGGCAGGCAGGCAGGCAGGCGCAGCAGGGAGTGAGTGGTAGTCACGCGGTTGAACCGCGTGACCTTGAGAGATGGGATGTAGGGGGGCGGGTGGTTTGTTGGTGGTGGGGGTGAGACCGGCTCATTCCCGAAGATAAGCCTAACACACACTACCCGTTAGCATGATGGCAGGGAGGGAGGCAGGCTGGCTGGAAAGGAAGCAGGCTGGCAGGCTGGGAAGGAGGCAGGCAGGCTTGCAGGCTGGGAAGGAGGCAGGCAGGCTTGCAGGCTGGGAAGGAGGCAGGCAGGCAGGCAGGCTTGCAGGCTGGGAAGGAGGCAGGCAGGCAGGCAGGCTTGCAGGCTGGGAAGGAGGCAGGCAGGCAGGCAGGCTTGCAGGCTGGGAAGGAGGCAGGCAGGCAGGCAGGCTTGCAGGCTGGGAAGGAGGCAGGCAGGCTTGCAGGCTGGGAAGGAGGCAGGCAGGCAGGCAGGCTTGCAGGCTGGGAAGGAGGCAGGCAGGCAGGCAGGCTTGCAGGCTGGGAAGGAGGCAGGCAGGCAGGCAGGCTTGCAGGCTGGGAAGGAGGCAGGCAGGCAGGCTTGCAGGCTGGGAAGGAGGCAGGCAGGCTTGCAGGCTGGGAAGGAGGCAAGCAGGCAGGCAGGCTTGCAGGCTGGGAAGGATGCAAGCAGGCAGGCAGGCTTGCAGGCTGGGAAGGAGGCAGGCAGGCAGGCAGGCTTGCAGGCTGGGAAGGAGGCAGGCAGCCAGACAGGCTTGCAGGCTGGGAAGGAGGCAGGCAGGCTTGCAGGCTGGGAAGGAGGCAGGCAGGCAGGCAGGCATGCAGGCAGGGAAGCAGGCAGGCAGGCAGGCAGGCTTGCAGGCTGGGACGGAGGCAGGCAGGCAGGCAGGCTTGCAGGCTGGGAAGGAGGCAGGCAGGCAGGCAGGCTTGCAGGCTGGGAAGGAGGCAGGCAGGCAGGGATGCATGCAGGCTGGGAAGGAGGCAGGCAGGCAGGCAGGTTTGCAGGCTGGGAAGGAGGCAGGCAGGCAGGCTTGCAGGCTGGGAAGGAGGCAGGCAGGCTTGCAGGCAGGCAGGCAGGCAGGCAGGCTTGCAGGCTGGGAAGGAGGCAAGCAGGCAGGCAGGCTTGCAGGCTGGGAAGGAGGCAGGCAGGCAGGCAGGCTTGCAGGCTGGGAAGGAGGCAGGTTTGCAGGCTGGGAAGGAGGCAGGCAGGCAGGCAGGCAGGCTTGCAGGCTGGGAAGGAGGCAGGCAGGCAGGAAGCGATATATGGGTGTTGAAGTGAACCATGAACCACGTGACCTCTGAGTGTGTGTGTGTGTATGGGTTTGGGGTGGGGGGAGAGGGGGAGGTGTATCGGTGGTGGGGGAGGGACCGGCTGACTCCGTAAGCCTAACCACACTCCACAGACCTGTGACCCAGATTTGTTTCTTAAATGTACAGTACAGCATCGTATATTTTAGGCAGGATGTGCCTGCAGGCTGGCAGGAAACATCCAGAGGATGTTTGCCAGACGTCTTAATAATCAGTTAGGAACAATTAAGGACTTTTATAAAGCGGATCAGGACTTCACTTATTGGTGAGTACAAACAAAACACAGTCGCATTTACGCTATGAACCTGTCGATTTTTTCCCCTAGAGTTTTTTTTCGTGAATTTTTTCGGAAAAATTTATTTTTACATTTCTAGTTTATTTTTTCCCCTCTATTTCTCGTATACGAACTTACATGTTAACCGACGGGTCTCGTCCCCAAGGGGTTCGGAAACCAAGTGGTGCTCTGTATATGAAAATACTTTCAGTGTTACCCTTATTTTTGTATTAAAGTAAGTTTCATATGTATGTTTCTGTTGTGTGTTAGCCAAGTATTTAAAGTAAGGGGTTTTGTGTACATTTCAAGTGTTTTCTGTGAGAGCCCCTTTGGTTCCCTGTAGCTATCAGACTGATATATGCTATATTAGTCTGGGGATTCAGTCAATGGAGTTCTGCCTATCAGGAACCATGAGCCAGAACCTGGCCCCTTTAGTGAGGTGCAGGGAGCAATGGCCTAAGGAAACCCCCATGTATTTGGGAGAATTCCATGCCTGCCATCGACCAGGATTAGGCACCCAGAAAGGTAGGTATACCAAAACAAACCCCACATGGTAGGAAATTGCAAACCCAAGACCAGAGAAACAGAATCCCCCCCAAAAGAAAACAAAGAAAGAAGCAAACGTTGTCCACCATCAAAATTGAAATTGTTGAAATTGAATTGATTGAATACCCCTTCTCGCTTATTGGTTCTCTTGAACCTACTACCATTATTAATGTTAGTTTGCACTTCAATGAGCTTATGCTCTGAGTATGTAGTATCTGAGATTGTAATGTCTCTGATTATTGTTTGTTTTCGTTCCGAGCTGGTTCAGTAATCTGTTGATTGAGCGAGAATTTGTCACAATCTCAATAGTTATTTGACTTTCAGTTGATTATTTCCAGCTTGGTTTCCTGCTATATTATTATTGTTGCCATTCTCCATCTTAAACTGGGTAGATTGAAGTCTCAAAAGAAGATAATATCTGCTAAGGATGTGTAATATAAAGTAAATATCTCTGTCAAAAGCCTCTTTTTAGGTCCAGACAAATTGCAATCAGCCCAACTATCTCTTTCCTATAAAATCGTTGCGGCATTATCCTAGAAACTACGTAGATTTGTTATACAGGATCCTCTTGTTCGAAAATCATACCATCTCTTATCATTTCTTTCCAAGTGTTCAACCCATGTGGTTTTAACTATTTTATGTAGTGTTTTCACTGCCATGCAGTGAATGATACTGGATGCACCAATAGTGATGCAATACTGGATTGTGATGCACCAGACATTGCTTGCACATTTTTCATTTTTGCAAAAGGACTCAGGATTTTTTCCATATATGGCAAATCATCGACAGAGGTCTCTAGTGTCAAATAACGTCCGCCCTAGATTGAGGTGGGGCTTTTATAAAAAAAAAAAAAAATGGGATATCATCTCCATATTATATTATCTCCAAATATTATATCATCTCCAGACATTTGGGGAATATTGGCCAATTGCCTAAAGATGATTGCAACAGTTTAAGGGTTAAACAAGTAAATCAAACCTGCATGATCTGTCTCATCTGGAGGCCGCAATGGGGTATTTCCAATTCCTGGTTTCTTGTAACGCCGCAAGTCATTCTTACCTGTAACATGGAAGAATATTTAATTATATTAAATAAACTAAAAACATTTTCATACAAATATTGATGTAAAGGACAATTAGAAAACAGAATTTGGCAGTATTGAATTTAGACAAAGTAAAACCAAAAAAAAACAGTTGAATGTAATGAAATGCCATTTTCTGGGTGAGACTCGGAGGCTTCCCAGAGCTTACTAGGCTCATATGCTAATGTCAGACTTTGGCATCAGTCATGTGTACGGAGTTCTGTGGGCCTACTGCGGACCACGAGCCAGAACCTGGCCCCCCTCAGAGAGACATGGGGAGCAACGGCCTATAGAAACCCCCGTGTGGTTGGAAGCACTCTATGTCTGCCATCGCCCAGGTTAGGCACCTAGAAAGGTAGGCGTCCCAAAACAAACCCCTATTCTGGTGAAAATTGCAACCAAAAACCGAACGAGTGGATAGAACTCCCCAAACAAAAACGAGCAAACTAGTATGACGTCACCCATCATTGCGCCGCTGTCTGCGCAGCTCCCCTCTCCCCGGGAGGGGGAAGGGGGTAGCCCCAGACCTACCACGCCTGCAATCCACACCCCAGTTCTGAGGCTGGATGTCAAAACACGCAAAAAAATGCCGACCGGAGGGAGAGAGAGAATCCGGGGAGCCTCCAGGACTCACCCAGAAAATGATGTCTCATTACATTCAACGCTGGTTTTCTGGGGGGGACCCCCTACAGCTCCCCGGAGCTAACTATCCACAGAGGAAAAGAATAGGGACTGACCCAGGAGGCGGTCGCCGCACACCACTCAACCCGAAGTCGAGACAACAGGACACATCCGCCGACCCAAAGCAACACAGGCCCGACTGGGCCCAGGAACGTGTACAAGGTAACGAACAGCCAAGGACCCTGGTCGACCGCCAAATACCCCGCGTCCGAACGTCCTCCCAGGATACAGTACCAAAGACGGTGGCAAGAGCTGCGAACTTGTGGATGTCACGGGCACGGAGATAGACCGCAGGCTGGAGAGCCTTAATCGGGCAAAAACAAAATGCACCCCCGGCCCAACCAACCAAGCATCAACAACCCAAGGACCCCTCCGGAAAGCAGCAGTCTCATTCTCCGCCAGAAAATAAGGAGAAGGCAGCAGACGACCAAACTGAGCACCCCGACCGAAGGAGCAGAAAACCCCTGTGCAGGAGGAGAGCATGAAGCTCACCTACCCGACCCCTAGAGGCCAGTGTCAACCAGAAAAGAGCCATCGAAAAACAAACCGGAACTGAAGGGGCCACAAGAAAACGAGAAGAAAGAAAAGAGCACTGTCCAATGACCAGGACGGCTCAAGCGGCGCAAGAACAGGCCAGAGGTGAAATAAGCACGAGACAGCTTACGAACGGCGCAGATGAAAGTCCGAAAGCAAGCCGAAAAAGTGCCGCATAAAACGAGGCGACAGTAAGCGGCAAGTCGACAGCCCCCAACCCCCAGCAGAAAAGTCAAGCCAACGCCAACAAACGCAGCCACCGAAGAAAGGACAGAAGGAAAAGGAAGGACCGCCAAAACACCCCATACTGCCGCCAAGAACACAGGTGGGACACCAACAACGAAGCCACCTGACCAGCAACAGATGCGAGATACCCAAGACAGAAGGTAATCAGCCCTGCCAAGGGTCATCCGAGCGTAGGAAGAGGCGGAGCCGCAGGAAGATCTCGGGTGCGACCACCAAGGAAGCAGAGCCGGAAGCCCAAGCCGGCAAGAAGGAGATGGAACATATGCCGAACAGAAAACTCCCCAACGCGAGCAAGCTCGCCAGAGGATCGGAAACCACGAGTCCGATGTGAGACACCAGAGAAGGGACATCGCAAGACACTGAAAAAACAAACAGGCAGGGCAAGCCAGTAAAACAGGAAAGCAAACCTGGCAACAAGAAGGCCAAAAAGCACATACAAAACACACAACAGTGTGAAGGAGGAAATGATAAAAAGACTAGCAGAAACGCCCCAGCATCAGTGGCCAGGGACAAGAGTGAAGCAGGAAGGCGAGAGGAATGCATGAGGAAGGGAAGTGGCAGAGGCCAACCCCACACCCAGCATCCAGTGCAGAGAAGAGTCCAGTAGGCTCTGGAACTTGAACAGAAAGCGAATGATAGGCAAAGGCCGAGATGAAGAGCCCAAGCTCATCCTCAGCCAGCACAACTAGGCGAGGACAACGAGGTTAGGACAGAGAATCCAAGGAACATGGAAATAACCAGGCCCGGCACAGCAAGACCGGCAAGGAAGGAGGGCCCCAGAAAAATCAAGGGAACAAAAAACCCAAACAAGGAAGGCGCCAGAACGAGCATGGAAGGGCCGAACAAAATACCACAACCATACCCCCACACGCAGCCACAGTATCAAAACCGCAGCAAAACGTCACCACACTCCCAGAGGAAGTGACAGGGTAGAGAAAAATAAACTGGAACACGAATGGCACACAACAAGGGGACACAGGTGGAAACCAAGTACCCAACCGAGACACAGGGACGTTAGAAGAAACGTGTGCGGTGTAACAGGCTACCAATGGAACACATTAGACAGCCCATATCTGTGCTGACTCCATACACAGCTCCAAGTGTAGAGACGAGAGAGCCCAGGAGGCACAGAATCTGCACGTCAGTCGAATGACAGGTGAGAGGCGGAACCAAAGAGCTAGAGCCCAACCCCACAAGCACAATGAGACGAGCACATAACACCCTCAACACAGGAAAATGTATCACCGAACAGGCACCTCCACCATTGCACCGTGGAACAAGGTGGAGGCATGGCACCGAACTCAAGCATGGTTGGACAAGCATAGGAGAGGGGCAGGATGAGTAAAGGCAGGATCCGCCTCGTATGGGCCCAGAGGCCTCCTGCAGTCACCTGTGACCCAAGGAAGGAATCGGGTGGTGAGAACAAGAGCTGCCACGTAGAGGCCAATAGCCCTGCAGCAGGCACCTCGGTTTTTAAGTTCTATGTTATCAAGTACGTATGTACACCCATTCCTACTCCCAAAAACAAAAACAGCGTTAGGACGAAGGAGACGCCAGACCGCACCAACTCACCTGCAGAACATAGGCGCTGAAGGGCCATGACACAAGCCTATGAGAACGGAGCCACCTGAGGCGGCCAGGGAATCGTGCGCCAGTAGACGAGAAAACCAGGAGCACCGCCTGCAGAAGGCAGGCCAGAGCCGCTCATGCCGAAGAGGAGGGGAGCGGCGAAGGAGGTTCCCCCACTCAAAAACGCAGGGAAAACCCCGTGACCTCCCCACAGTGAGTTCTATCCCAAGTTCTTTCCCAAGAGGCAGACAAGAGGAGCTCCAGCATATTTCAATAATCCTAAGTATTGTAGTACAGGATGATGATAGTGAGTGGTGTCCCAGTGAACATAAAGGTATAGTGCTTTTGAAAAATAGGTGAGATAACAGGAATGTGCCAAGGGAAGTGAAATAGTGGATGAGAAAAAGTTACCCCTAGTGTTTCCAGTGCAGAGAACAACATTCAAGATGCCTGCAAGAGGAAATACAAAACAGAGCTTGATTTTGCTGGATTCAGTGAAGAAAGAATTGAGATAACCAGTCTATACAACAAGGTGGTAAAATTAGATACTATAGTGACCTCTCATGTAGAAATAATTAGTAAATTGAAAGAAAGTAATGACCATTTAAATAGCAAAGTTGTATGTCTTGAGGGTTCAGTGAAAGACTTGCGCAAGGATAAGATTCAATTGGAAACAAATTGCAAAGCCATGGAAGAAGAAAATAGACTCTTAAAAATAGCTTTGGAAGAAGTTAAAGTAAATTTAAACATAAATGACTACAATAGGTTAGGTAAGGAATTTCAACAGGAGAAACAGCTTTTGTCAGCACAGATGGAGGAAGTTACACAGGGAATAGAACAGTGCAAGAAAGATATGCAACTCACTTATGCACAAGTGGCCAAGGAGAAGGAAAAAATAGAAGAAGCAATAAAGGAAGTCAAACACTGCAGCAACCAAGATACAACAAACATTAGGCTAGAAGTGAGGAAAGAATTGGCATCTAACCCGAAGTTGGTGCAAAACACAGTTGATCGGAGTAAGTCCCTGATCATTTTTGGCTGCAAAGAAAAGGAGATAACATCTAGGTCAGAAAGAGCTGTAGAAGAAGCAAAAGTAGTAGATAAAATTGTTGGCCTCGTGGAAGGTCTTACAACCATAGAGAATGTGTGCGACTACAGGAGAATAGGAAGATATGTAAAGGGAAAGATCAACCTTTGAGGATCACCCTAAACGGTGCCAAACAGATGGAAGAAGTACTAAGGAATGCTAGAAAATTACAAAGTGATGAGGATGGGAAAGTGTGGTCGTCAAGACGAGATCTTTCAAATGAAGATAGAGAGAAGCTGAAACTTAACCTCGCCGAGGCAAAACGTTTAAATGAGAGCAGGAATGAAGAAGAAATCAATTCTTTTTTCTACAAAGTGATAGGAGTAGGCAGGCCAGTAAAGTGGTACATAAAGGCAAACCTACAAAATCATTAGAGAAAGGGGGAGTGAAAAATAAGAAGAGGGGGAACACGTTCCTCAAGATTGCATACACCAACATAGATGGAGTAAGATCAAAGATACTGGAGTTAAGTGTTATAATACAGCTGCAGACACCAGACATTGTTGCACTCACGGAGACAAAACTTGAAGATGCTATTTTAAATGAGGTCATATTCCCAAGGGGCTACTCAATTTGGAGATGGGACAGAAAAATTAGGCAAAGGCGGTGGCGTTGCTGTGCTGGTGAAAGAACACCTAAAGGTGAACGAAATAGTGACTGCCAATCCACAAGAAGTTGACATAATAGCACTAGAAATCTGCCATGAGGATGATAAACTAATGATCATAAATGCATATAGTCCACCGCTAAGCAGCACATGGTCAAAGGAGGAGCTAGGTAGTAAACGAGAAGGTCTTATAACAATAATGAGGGAGATCATAGCGAGAGCGGATAACGATAGTTCACGACTGTTGATAGTCG